GTTGGTTAAATCTATAGATGTGGAAGCCATGGATAAGAAAAGCCAATTGTATTGTTATTCATTAATTATTATTTAATTGCAAACACAAACTACATTTTAATTGAAAAAGAAAGGATGTCTTAGAAGGCAAAACTAAGAGCCCAAAGAATGCGGCCAAATGTCAAAGAACAACCCACAGGCAGCAGCACTGATGCTTAATTAAGGAATTGGTAACATGTGCCCAGTTGGATTTCATAATTGCTGTGGGCCAGTGACTACTCTATTTTCCCATTTTCTCCATTCTTTAATGGAAATGGCTTTTGCAGTAATCATATTCCCATCTTACCATTCTCTGAGGAGGGGAGAAAAGGGAGGTAGATAACTTATCTTTATAGTTAACATATCTTTATAGTTAACTTGTCCTTATAGTTAACCAGTCTTCAGAGCGAGAGAGACCATGAGCAAGAAACCAAATCAAGTCATCTCATCTGTGCCTGCACCTGAGTCAGATGGTGTTATCCTGGACCTCAGACCTGAGCCTGATGTTGTAATGGGATAAGACCCATTGGCGAGTACATACTATATGTGGGATTGGTGTAAATAATTTGTAGGCAAACAGCAGAATGTGTTGATTTTGAAACAGGTCCATAAATTCTTTGACATTCCTCCCATCAAGACCTGTGGTCTATGCCCACTTTTGTTGAATCAAGACTATCCTTAATGACTCACTCACAACCAGTAGAACATAGAAGTGATGCTGTGTGACTTCTGAAGATAAGTCAAAAGAGGCCATATAGTTTCCACCTAGTTCTTTTGGGACAGTCATTCTTGGAGCTCTGAACTATTCATTTAAGATGTCCAACTACCCTGAGGCCACATGCTTTAAGCAAGCCCAGGACACATGAAAAGGCCACACATAGATGCTATGGCTGACAGCCTGAGATCACATCTCAGAAGACTGAAAGCACAACCACCAGACAAAGAGGGTTTCAAATGACTCTACCCCCAGATGTCAAGTTGCCCCCAATCATCATGCCTCCCCAGCTGAGACCCCAGACATCACTGATCAGAGACAAGGTGCCCCCACTGTGCCCTTCCAAATTCCTGACCCACAGAAACTTTGAGGATAATAAAATGGTTGTTTTATGCTACTAGGTTCTGGAGTAGTTTGTTATGACATGATAGTAACCAGAACAATATTGTAAAAGAAAGAATTCATACTTTCAATTTTCAAACAAGAAAACCAGAACAAAGAGAGGTTAAGTAATTAACCAAGGTCACAGAGAAGCAAAGCAAAGCAAACATTCTGAAACAGACCTGCCTGATTTTAAAATTGACATTTATAGTGATAATACTAAACTATATTCCATACAGATATCCTTGCCTGTCTTTTCTTATTCACATTTCCCTGGCCAAGGATTATATGCACACATTGTCTGTTTCTCTAAGACCGAACCATCGTTCACGGCTATACTAAATCCTATCTCTTCCATGAAGCACATCCCTATACTTCAACTCTTATCAATTTCTCCCTCTTCTAACTAGTCTTGAACTTATTTTCTACAACTTTCAATTGACAATTAGTGAATACTAGTGTGACAAACTCACAATTAGTGAAGTCATTGCTTTTTCTATGCGCAGTTTTTAGCTACCTTCTTGGATTATGCTCCTAAACTAGGGTTGAAGATTAAATGTCTACAGGATTGAAACAGGTAATAGACATAAGTAAAGTGGATAGGTGTAAAAGAACAAAACCAGGTGTGAAGATTAAATTACACTGGGAAGCAAACACCCCTTGTAAATGAGTCACTACCACCCAGCTCTAGCACATCGATTTTCTTCATAGCATATATCACCACCTAACATATTATATATTTATTTGTTTGTGTTTCTCACCTCATTAGAATGTAAGCTCCCTGAGAGCAGGAACTTTTTCTACTTTATTTGCTGCTATATCACGAAACCCTAGAACAATACCTAACATTTGGTCAACAGACATCTGTTAAAGGAATAAATGAGTGAACAAATATTACCAAGCAGGAATGTGGGCCCAATGTTACAAGATCTTTCAATTTTTCAAGAGAAGCCACAAATAAATTATTTTAGGTATAATCTCCCAATTTCTAAATGTTGACAACTAAACATTCAGCCATTAGGGGGATGGGCAAACAAAACATGTCTGCAGCCTTGGATTCAACATGAAAGCTATATTTGCAATTTCTGTGCTAGAGAGATCTTAGACATTTTTAATCTATCTAATTACTTAGAATATGTTTTCAAACTGTAGGTAGCTTGATAAGCAAATAATGATGGTGATGATGATGCTTCAAGCATTCACACTTAAGGCACAGCTACAATTCAGCTGTATTATTAGTATGCTACTCAAGTTCCTCTCTCATATCTCAAAGAAAATTGCTTGAGCTTCTGATCTAAAATGACCACCTGGACTTCACATGGCCATCGCACATCCAAGATTCTAAAGCTAAACTTCCACTCCTTCCAGCTGTTAAGTGTTGTGAAGTGTCATTCCCATATGCTCCCAGTAATAAAGGGGAAAGACAGTAAAAGGAAAATAGATTGGATTTCAAAGGAGTGACCAAAAAAGAGTCAAGTTTTAAACTATATTTCCACAGTTGATAAATAAGAGCTGCCAATGGCAATTTTGTTTTCCTTTTTACTGATTTTTAGACTGTATAATCTAAAAGTATATTTCAGTTGACCTTTCAGTGTTCTCTGGTAGCATTTTTTGTCTTTTCTACATAAAAGTTATTAAGTAGGAATTTTGAAATGTTTACTAATTACCTAGAGATTCTTAACTCTGATAAAAAAAAAAGTCACAACTAAATAACTTAGTGTATCTGGCTTTAAACGTGGGTCACTTAGCAACAAGCATAATTGTGTAGGGCTGAGAACACTTTTAAGATACTTTAAAGAAAACACACTAGAAAAAAGCATTTCCAGTGCACCCTATGCTAGCTGACCCACAGCAAGTCAATCATCACCCTTTGAAGATGCAGAAGGAAATGAAATGTCTTCGTGTTCCTTTTCTATGTTTGGTCCAATGAGTACAGCCTTGAAATGCCCACAGAAGACATCAACAAACATCAGAGTAATTCAACATATCAAATGATTGTAAGTCCAAAATAGTAAAATGCCTGCTAGCCTTTTATAGTCCACATTTAGGACATTATTTTTATGATTATATAGATGAATTCACTATATACAGTTCTTTAATAATGGCATTCGTTTTGTATGCTGGACGATGGTATTTTTTAAACAAGTTCCACAATGATTTAAATTAAAAGTGACAGTGAGGAAAATTTTTTTAGCCTAAACTATTTTTCAAAATTTAGGTTATTACAGAGCTATGAATTTCCTGCAGATTAAAAATATAGATTTCTATTTACCTATTTATTATGTTCAAGCAACATTGAATACAATAGCCATTGGATGGGGAGAATCATAACCTGAATTCTCTTGTAGACTCACAAGTGAAATGATGAAACACAAATTTTGTAGGGCACAGGAGGAAAAACTCAAAATCTGGGATCAAATCAACAGAGGTTTGACTTACAGCTCAACCATTTGCTTAATTTTTGACTCTGCATTAGTTACTGAATCTCTTTAAACCTCAATTTACTATACTAATTTGGAAAAAGCAGAATTATAATACTTTGTTTTAAGGTTAATATGAAAATTAAAATAAATGCATATATCACGTAAGCCATTGAGATGAGGAAGAAATTGTTGATGCAACATGGCATAGTCTAGCCTAATGCAATGCAATCACATGTAAAGAAAATGCCTGGAAAATCATGCTATCACAATTGATGGTAATCATTGAGAATCTAATTGATTCGTATAATAAATTTAATGCAGATAATGTTCCCTCTATCTCACCTTTTCTGAGAAAATAAAATGAAATAAAAATAAGTTACAATATAAGTTGTATATAACTTATACAAAATAAGTTATAGAATGTTATCTATAGTATAAAATCCTTTATGGAATTTTAAAGCATGGTATGTATTATAAGTGTGTGTGTGTGTGCGTGTGTACCTTAGTAATTGTATGATAACATGCATGGAAATAGCAAACACCAAATTCAGGACAGTGGTGATCTCTAAGGTAGAGGGCAAGGCAATGAGATCAGGGAAGGTTACAAAAAGGGCTTAAACTCTATCCAATATGTTTGACTTTCTTTTTTTTTTTTTTTTTTTGAGACAGGGTCTCACTTTGTTGCCCAGGCTAGAGTGAGTGCCGTGGCATCAGCCTAGCTCACAGCAACCTCAATCTCCTGGGCTCGAGCGATCCTTCTGCCTCAGCCTCCTGAGTAGCTGGGACTACAGGCATGCGCCACCATGCCCGGCTAATTTTTTCTATATATATATATATTAGTTGGCCAATTAATTTCTTTCTATTTATAGTAGAGACGAGGTCTCACTCTTGCTCAGGCTGGTTTCGAACTCCTGACCTCGAGCAATCCGCCCGCCTCGGCCTCCCAGAGTGCTAGGATTACAGGCGTGAGCCACCGCACCTGGCCTGTTTGACTTTCTTAACAAGAAAATTAGATTGAAAGAAAAATGGTAAAATATTTAATTATATAGATCTGGCTAGTAGTTTACTATATTATTATTCATCAAATTTTCTGTACATTTGAAATACTTCACAATACAAAGAAGCAGCCTTCCCAGTCACACAAACATAAACAGGCAATTTCTCCAAACAGACAACATCTATTCTAGAGACACCCAGGAGATGGAGGGTAAAGATGAAGAGGGGCAGGGATGATGGGAGAGGTGGATGTAGGTGGTTAAAGGAATAAGAGGGCTAGGTATAAAAGAGAGATTCCTCTCTGAAGTTTTAAAACCAGGAAAATACCTTGTCCCCCAAGAATTAAGGAAAGAATTCAGCTATATAAAGTGTGAAAAAGTTAGAAATGATCCATTATTAACCCAGAAATCAGGTCACTTTATAAAGTGTACATTATCCAAAAACATCATTAAGCTGAAAATACTTACTACAACCCCACTCTTGGTGGTAGTTTCTCTGTATGTGAAGTTGCAAATTGCCCAGGCTAAATAATATGTGGACATGAGGGGGGTCTGTGAAAAGTGATCCGTAACCCATCCATCTTCCTCAAACACAGAAGTTTCCACTGGCATATTAGATAAAGATAAATAGGTTGCTTGATGCTTGATGCTGATTTTGAAAGTAGCCTTGTAGATTGGCTCATCAAAACAAGGAAATGCCTTTCTGGCATGTGTAGGCGAAAACTGAGTGACACCAAGGAATCTGGAAAAAAGAAAATGACATTCTCAATTACATTTATGGCTTGAGTTAAGTTATGGCCACATTACATGCTTCTACTGATAAAATAATATATTTTGCCAAATTGCAATATACTTTTTTTCTGAATCAAACTTAAGTACATGAATAATATGAAAGCATAATTCATATATAATATACCTCCCCAACAATAAAAGCTCTTCAGGGAAGTTTCTTATCTCAATTAAAATATATTCTCTAAACCCAGAGCAGTGCTTGTTACGTGAAACATTACACTCTATAGAAAAACAGCTCATTGACATTGCTTTGGCAAAAACTTGAAAATTATGATTCTCTTTGTTGGTGTGCTTCCCTTTCTTCCATGAAGCTGTATAACATGCAGAGACAATGAAGCCAAAATTCAAAAGTTGTCCTCAGATATATGCAGAATGTAGACCATCACTTGGGAAATATCTGTGCCCTCGAATTTCAAGAAGGTAGAGCCTGGCCTTGTTACGAAAAAGGAGTTAGTTTGAAACCTGATAAATCTTGGTCTGAATTCTGGCTCTACAACTTTATTAGCCATGTCATCTTGGACAATTACTAAACTTTCCTAAAGTATAGTCATTCACTGCTGAAAAAGGAAATAATCAAGTCTAACTCAAGAAGTATTGTAAGGCTTAGAGGAATAAAAAGGATGTGAAGCACCTGTCACTGTGAACAGCATGGAGTAGTCAGGAAATGCCAGTTGCTGATTCTTAATATTTCAACCTTTCTGGGGCACAGGAACACAAGTATATAGTGACCAGTCTAAAGGCCAACAGTTTTTACTACTCCTAATATATATGTGTATTTTATATTAATACATGTTAATATAATAAATATCTATATAATGAACACATCAGTATATGTGTACATATATGCATGTTGCACTCAAACTTTCAAATCAAGCTGTGTCTTATTAAAATTCTAACTAAAAGCAACCTCTACATTCTTTGATGGTTTATGATGACAAATGAAGACACTCAAATTAAGTACTTTAAAAAAGGCACACTTCCAAATAAGAAAACATTCATGAAAAATAAGTTAATGAAATTTTTTTAATAATACTAGCTACAAAACTTGACATAAGGCAAGTTAGTATTGGACCCTTCATAGAACAACACTAAGTTCTGAAGCAATTTTTTAAAAGGCTCTTCTCCCATAAGTAGTTCTACCACCACCCTTCTCTCCATATATGAATGTGTTGTATACACACACACATATATGTGTGTATACATATATATGCATATATATTCATATATACACATATATATACGTGTGTGTGTGTGTGTGTGTGTGTGTGTGTGTGTATAGGCTGTCTGGAAAGTATCCAGCCATGTAACTATTGTTATATTAGCAATTTTATATTAACATTGTTATATTAATGTTCTTGTTATATTAACAATGGTTAGATACTTTCCTGACAGCCCTTGTACATATATTAATCTAACATGGCATACATTTCTTCTGAGCCTAAACTTGTCCTCAAAATTGTTCTCACCACAGCACTTCAGGCTGCTACTACCAATCAATACAGGTTGACATGCATATGGAATCTTATTGGCTATAACTGGCTCAAACCATGAGGTGTAAATGTTTACGCCATTTGAAAATTATGAGACTTACATTTACATTGAAGGCCTACTTTTTATTTATTTATTTTTTATTTCAGAATATTATGGGGGTACAAATGCTTAGGTTACATATATTTCCTTTGCTCCACCTGAGTCAGAGCTACAAGCATGCCCATCCCCTAGATAGTGTATACCGCCCCCATTAGGTGTGAATGTACCCATCCCCTCCTTTTCCCTCCCACCTGCCCAACACTCGGTGAATGTTACTACTATATATACACATAAGTGTTGATCAGTTAATACCAATTTGATGGTGAGTACATGTGGTGCTTATTTTTCTATTCCTGTAATACTTCACTTAGTAGAATCGGCTCCAACTCCATTCAGGATAATACAAGAGGTAATAGTTCACTACTGTTTTTCATGGCTGAGTAGTACTCCATGGTATACATATACCATGAAGGCCTACTTTTTAAAGCTTAGTTTTGAAATGGAAAAAAATAAGTCATTTTAAAGATTAATTGTAAAATTACTCTCACAGAGAGGGTTTTTGAGAGTTATCTTAGAAACAGCACCAGACTATTACACAGCAGACTTGGTTAAGTCACTTAACTGCCTGAGCTTCATTTTTTTCATTAGTAGAAGGAAAATAATAATGTTTTCTAGGCTTTCCTTACAAAACTGTCAAAATGATAAAATGAGATAATATATGGGAAAGAAGTTTCAACTATAAATCTTCATACAAATATAAGGTTAAAGTTGGAAGCAATATTAAAAACAAATTGTCCTGCTCTTGAAACTCCTAAAATGAAAAAATAGATCTGGTAGATTAAGTGATTTGTCTGAGGTTACACAGATAATTAGCACAAATCTGGGTCTAGAACTCACATTTAATGAGTTATATTTCAAAACAGTAAAATTAATGTTTAGCCATAATTTATAAACAATGTCTTAACTATAGGTAACAAAGATTCTTTTTTCCAAATTTGCCAGCAAATATCATGGTAATCTTTTTTCTTACTATTTTCTGCTTACAGTAATACAGTTTCTACTTAATAAAATGTCAGTACCTTTTAGTTAAAATGTATCCATTTACAATTTTGTCTTCCTGTGCTTTTATCTTATATAATGCTCATGAATCTTATCTTTCAACTTATTAATTAAAATGTCCACTAAGCTTAATATTTCTTTACTGAGGCTATTTAAAAGATGCCCATGGGATTTTACATATAAGGAAAAGAATTCCCTTTTAACTTTGAAGTATTTAAGAGCTCCAATTCTAATCACTGAATGACTAAATATTATCTGCTATGTGTGAGCATCACACTGTACAGGTTGAGAATCTCTTATCCAAAATTCTTGGGACCAAAAGTGCTTCAGATTTAAATTTTTTTTAAATTTTGGAATATTTGCATTATATACTTACAAATTGATCATCCATAATCTGAAAGTTCAAAATCCAAAATGCTCCAGTGAGCATTTCCTTTGAGCATCATGTTGGCACTTAAAAAGTTTTAGATTTTGGAACATTTTGGATTTCAGATTTTCAAATTAGGGATACTCAACCTGTGTTAGATACCTAGTAGGATTTTTTTAAAGACATAACCATTTTTGTCCTTATGGTCTTTGCAATCTAGCTAGAATATACACTTATAATTTATCGTGAAATATATATATTATGTATTTTTCATGGAAGATGGAAAGGCAACTGATAATACTAGGGACTAAGTTCTACAAAAGTTCCACACAGAGGTTATAATTAGAATATATTAGTCTTTAAGTAAAAATCAAAGGTGTCTTTGCTATTAAGTAATTAATGGGTAGAAATTTATTAGATGTAGAAGATGTAAATACCTCTAAGCTAATGAGAGATTAATAAAATAATTGTTTTTGCAGAGGAAAAATATCATGCAGTTTCTTTTTGCCTTACTTAGTTTATGTTAGGGAAGGTAGCAATTTACATCACTGATCCTCAGGGTTGAAAAGAACTATAAAGATCACCTAGTGACTTTCTTTGCAATTAATATTCTTAATGAATTCATACACACAGTATATATCTATGCACAAAGGCCACCATATATTCTGATAACGTCTAAATGAGGAAATACCAATTTCACAGTCTGGCACCTGAGGATGATTGCAATTGAATTTCAATTCAGTATTTAGAAAATCAAAAGAAGTCCCTTGGTAAAGAAGAGTAGTTGAACTAGATTACGTTTAAGGTTTTTTCCAAGCTTGAGATCCTATTGCTGAACAAAAATTAGAAATAAAATATTCCCCAAACTTAATAGTTTCTTTTAAAAAGTTAAATTACACTAGTGCTAAATACTTTTTTACTACAAGTTCTATAATGCATTTGCTTCTCTTAATTATTTATTTTTGAATCTTCAATACTGGGGAGAAAAAGATAAATATAAATGCTTCCTTCCTGCAAAGAGTTTCCACACTAATAAAATAAATTAAACATATACCTAAACAGGCATTATACGAAAAGCCATGGCAAAGAGGGAAAATGTATGAAGAAATTACATTCTCCTAAAGCAGGATTTCTCAACCTTGGCACCACTGACATTTTATGCTGGCTAATTATTTGTTGTAGGGGGCTGTCCTTTGCATTGTAGGATCTTTAGCAGTATCCCAGGTCCCTACCACTAGATGCCAGTAGAATTTCCTCTCTGTAGTTGAGATGATCAAACATGCCCCAAGACATCTCCATTGCAGATGACCCTGGTGGGCAAAATTGCTCTAGTTGAGAATCATCAGCCTAAAGACTCAAAAAAGGCTTTATGGAGGAGGAATCAAAGAATTGGTCTTGAAACCTGGACAGAAGTTTAAAGGTAAGAGGTAGATGGAGAAATGAGAGAGTTGATTACGGTTGCACAGAAATAAGCCTTAAAAAAAGCTTTGACACACATGTTAAGTTAGTTCTCTGTCTGCTGTCTTGCACATTCTGGTTATATCAGAGCTCAACTCTAACACCTCTCTCACCCTTGATACTCCTCTTTCTAACAAAAAGAGCCAGTTTCAGGTCAGTGCCTTGAATAGACAACGGTGTCTGTAAAATTTCAAAAATATAATTTTATCTCTGCTGCATATATGTTATGGTTGCCTTCAACTGGTGAAAGTGAGACTTCTGCTTACTATCGTTAAAAACATCAAACGTGCCTCTAGAAAGGGTGATTTGGAGAAGAAAATAAAGAGTTTGGAGTGAATTTGAGGTGAGTTTGAGGTGGTAGTAGGACACCAGGTATAAGAAATACAAAAAAAAATTAGAACACATTTTAAAATATAATATAGATATGAAATATGTATATATAAATACAACAAACAGTAAAACAAAACACCAGGAGGCAAAGGTAATGGAGAAAAGCACTTTGTTGTCTTTCTCCTGCTTTCTTAAACAAAATCATT